AACTGCAGGTAGGTTCCTGTTTTAGGACCGGTACCTAACTGGTTAAAATATATAGCAAGAAAAGTGCAGTTCTGCAGAGAACTAACAATATAATCATATATGTCACTAAGTCTTTGGAGCATAAAGACAAAGCAAAGATCAAGATAAAAGTGGTACTTGCAGACTGTGACTGTGTAAGATTGTATAGTTTATTTAAAGGCTCATTGATGAGTTATCCCACAAGGTAACTTATTCTGTTGTTGCTGTTGTGGCATGAAGGAGTCCTTCAGAGATGGGAGCTGGGATGAGTAAGAATATTCTGTTTGCACCTGAGTTTGGGAACACGCTTCTGTATGTAACGTTTTGCATTTCCAATTCAAAAGATGCCCTCTGTGGGCACCTTTGCTTATTCTTTATTTCTGAAAGAGGTGAGCTAAGCTGGGAGTAAGAAATTGATGAATTCTACATTCTCTTATACTGATGACTTTTCTTTGTATTAAAATTTACAATATCAAACATAGCTTTGCAGCTCTTTCGCTGGGAGCTGTGCTGTGCTAAATGTATCATTCTAGAGTCTTTGAAGGATGTCATTGTGTAAAAGATTGCAAGAGAATAACAACTTTGTTGTATTTTTACTTTTGAAATTCTTCTCAGTTCTCATGAATGTAGACAGCTTATTCTTGGATCTTAACTACTTCATAGAGAGCTTCCTGAGTTCAGTTATTGTTTTTCCTGACAATTTTAAGGACTGTTTGTTTGGATGTGGAACGGAGGAAAGAGAATGTTTTTCAGATATACTCTGAAAAGTATACAGTATACTCTGAAAGTTTTACAGTATTTCTTTTAGAAGTACTCAAGCTGTACTTTTGGTTGGGAATCCCATGCTGTAACCAAAAAGGCCTCCCAGTACTGATTGTCTTTGGCAATTTGAGTTGGTGCAGTTTCCTCATCTCACATTAAACTTATGTCGTGTTCCATGATGTAATTTATACTGGGGGGTCATTCCATTACTAGTTCACATATAGATGGCAATGTCCTTTGTGAGTTCAGGGCTTTTGCCACTCCACAGTACTGTTGTTGGGGCGGAAAAGAAGGCTGGGTTCTGTTTCTGGTGGTGTTGAGCTCACGGTGTAAGAACATTGCTGCAGAGATCTATATGTGACTGCATGATGGGGAAAGAATTACACAAAGCGGACTAGATGTTCTACTCTCCTAAGCAGGATTTATAGGATTTAAGCAAATCTGCTGGAATTCCTTGATCTTGTTCATGCACCTTATAGCTTGAGTGTTTTACCAGCACTGTGTGTGATTGCTGTTAACTACCTTTCTTCTTAGGCTTTCGCTGAAGACCTTTTATGGAGGAAGCACTGATTTTTCTGTATTTTCCTGAACTTCAGACTTCAATGTATCTACCTAAGGGTAGGAAATTCTCAGACATTATTAACAAATACTTAGATATAAAGAGATACCTTACATTTCATCCATGTGGTTAGTCATTTTGACTGCCATTACAAGAGGTTAAAAAAGATGGTTTAATACCACTGTCTGCTTCTTTTTAGCTTGTGTAGCTTCTAGGCTCCCAGAGGGAGCTTTATTGACTTTGTTTATTTAGATTTCCAAAACAGCTGTGATTGTTCCAAATTTTTTTTAGCACCCCTTTGCTCCCTAATACCCCTCTTGGAAATGAGCCATCTGTTAGTTTCTCTGGTAGATAACTTTCAACATCTGCATACTTGATGCCCCTAAAGGGACAGAATACGAGTTGTTCTTTTACTATTTGTAAACATTTTTCCAATCTGCAATTAAGTTAGTTAACAATCTGAAATAGATTTACTGTGCTTTTGTTATTAGTAGCCTGCAAACAAAGCTGATCAAGATTAGCAATCTCTATAGGCTACCAACAAGCATTCAGTAGGTGCATGAATAAAAGGCTGGCCTGTAGCATCTGCATGTAGGTGACTTTCTTGATAAAAACACAGAATCACAGAATATTTCCTGAGTTGGACAGGACCCATAAGGATCATGGAGTCCAACTCCTGGCTCCAAAAAGAACCGCCCTAAATACAGATCATAATGGTCACATGAGAAAGCAAAGGACCACCCCTTCTGAAGGACTTATAGTTAAGAGATTAGAAGCTGACAGCTAATACATAGTCCTGCATTCTCTGCTGAGGAAACGGAGCTAAGAGAATAGCAAAAGCACTAAGGTCTACTTCTTGGCTCCAAGTCCGTCTTGGCACTGACGTGGATCTTTCTTGTTCTGAATGTGATGAGCAGAATTACTTCCTTACTTCTTAGCCTAGAGAGATGGAGATATATCTTTTAATGGGAAGGCATGGCTACTGGCAACTATTTTGTTTGTTTGTTTTGTTTAAAGGAAAAGTGGTCCTGCCAGTTCAGGTGTAGTAAGTTTAATTCCTGAGAAGCAAGCTTATTTTAGAAGGCCGTACTTTTGGTTTGTAAGTGTCTATACAGAATAATCTGGAAAAAAATAGGACAGAGAGAGACTCTGTTGGGAATTGTAGACTTGCAGCTCAGCAGAGAAGGACGTGGGGGTCCTGATGGATGAGAGATTTAACATGAGCCAGCAGTGCGCTCTGGCAGCTCGAAAGGCAAATGGGATCCTGGGCTCCATCAGGAGAGGGGTGGTCAGCAGGGAGAGGGAGGTGATTGTCCCTCTCTACTCGGCTCTTGTGAGGCCCCATCTGGAGTACTGTGTCCAGGTGTGGAGCCCTCAGTACAAGAAAGACATAGAGATCTTGGAAAGGGTCCAGAGGAGGGCGACTAAGATGATCAGGGGGCTGGAGCACCTCCCCTATGAGGACAGGCTGGGGGAGTTGGGCTTGTTCAGCCTGGAGAAGAGAAGGCTGCGGGGTGACCTCATTGCAGCCTATCAATACCTGAAGGGAATCTACACCCAGGAGGGGAGTAAACTCTTCAAAAGGGCTGACAACAGCTGGACTAGGGGAAATGGATCCAAGTTGAAGGAGGAAAGATTTAGGTTGGATGTTAGGGGGAAGTTCTTCACAATGAGAGTAGTTAGGCCCTGGAACAGGCTGCCCAGGGAGGTTGTGGATGCCCCGTCCTTGGACGTGTTCAAGGCCAGGTTGGACGGGGTCCTGGGCAACCTGATCTGAATGTGTACGTTTGGTGGCCCTGCTAGGCAGGGGGGTTGGAACTACATGATCCTTGAGGTCCCTTCCAACCCGGGTGATTCTGTGATTCTGTTATTATTGTACAACTACGTTTATATCAGGGTGAGGAGGTAATATGTGTTAAATAGTGGACCTGGATAATTACAGTTGTTTCATAAGAATAAGCACACTCAGGGAAGTTCTAAATATGTCATGTATCTAGAGATAACTTAAAACATGTTTCTAGTGCTGTAGTTATATTGGAGTAATTTCCTTCTTAGTCAATCTGAAACACACAGACAAGGTTAATGTAGCTTGTGATATCTTGGAAGCTATTTAAGCCAGAACAGTCCAAGAGGGGCTGTTGCCAGAATAACTACCAGTAGAACTATGATAAGTAGCAAAAATCCTTTGGCCTAGGCAACTCTTGATCTTTGAATTGCAGCAGAATATGAGCAAATGGGTAAGGAAGAAGAGAGAAATATAGTAAGAATGTCTCTGTCTAAGGGAAATGTCCTTCCATGTGCCCAAAAACCAGGGGGAGGTCTTAGCAAGTAGGAAGTAATTGCAGACTTGCCACAGAGGAGACTGTTGCAAAGACAACAAAGACTGTTGCAAATATATATTGGCTTCCATCAGGAAGCTGTATCCCAAACTTGAGCTGCTGTTGCTTTTGATGCTCTGTGTTTTCCTTTTCAGTAAATCATTTTAAAATACCTAGGAAAGCCTTGACTTAAGAGAGGGAAGCTACTGTGAGAGAAATCCAGTACAGACTTTTGCTAGAGGCTATAAACCCTACCAGTACATGTCAGATAGAGGTTGAATTGAGCTGTTCTTTTCTAGTCCTAAAGAGTTGAGTAGGTGAGCATCTTAGGAGTTAAGAAGGAGCATCAACAACATCTGTAGTCCTCAGTCAGGGGTAGAGTCCTCTGAATGCTAGTGGTTTTTCTGTTATTGTTTCCAGTACATTCTTTCCTTATGTTTTCACTGGAGTAAGTGATTAGAAAATTCCAAAACATTTCCATCTTTGCTTTTTGTTTTGCTCCTTTTTGCCTGTGCCACCTGAGAGTTAGAGAATGCTGTAGCTTCTAAGCTATTTCCATGTCCACCTGGCCTGATCATCTGCCTCCTGTGCTACAGGGATATAGGAGATTTGCTTCTAATTAACTGAGTGTAATTCTTGGCCAAATCCATCACGTCCAAAATGCAGTGTGGTACGAATCCACTCAAACTGCTCCCTCCTACCACTTAGTGACTCCTGTAAAGGATCCAGATGTAGTGGAATTTCATTGCATTTGATGAGTGACTAAAGATGAGGCAACACAAAGCTGTCATGTGAAGTGACTAATAGGCAATAAGTGAGAAAGGAAAAAAAGGCTTTTTGTCAAGCCATTGGATTTGTATCAGCCTGTTTCTTGTTTTTATGCTGAACGTCTCTTTGAAAATGCTTCTCAGCAAGCTTGGCCAGGAATGAGCTCATTTCTTAAGGTGACTAGTTCATGCTGCAGGATGCTAAGGGTTAATCCCTCCATAATCAGAATATAAATGTAGTAAATGCTCATTAGACTGAGCTGCAGAGCAGTGTAGGAAATGTGAGAAATTTCCAAAATTAAACAATTTGAAATTGACCAAGTCTCCTCCTTAGGTTTGATTAATGTTTAAAGTGTTTGCTGTATTTTTTGTAAAGGAGCAGTAAATTCAAAATGAACTAGCTTAAAAACAAACAAAAGAAAAAACAGAAACAGCCCACCAAAATGCTTAAGGATTAATTGATAGCAATACAATAATTTTTCAACTCTGAAAATTGCCCCAGCCAATCAAATGAAAATGTTACAGCCCCAAGGTCAAAGAAACACTTGATGGGTAAAGAGGCAATACCCCGGGTAGCAAGATGCAGGGCTGAGAAGTGGGAACACTCCCCTGAGAGTTGATTTTTTCCTTGGAAATCTGGAAGCTCCTTAACATAGTTTTCTAGGCCCCATTTACCTGAGTTCAAATCTAAGGAGAGTGTGACCTCAGGAAGCTGCAAGCAGCTAATCAAGGAGGCAGCGGTGGGAGGATAAAGTCCAGATTCCTTCCAGCAAGTATAATCTCTGGCGAGCGTGCGTGCACAAGCCGTTTCCTTTTTCAGTTTTGCTGCTGGAGCTGTTGCAGAAGGAAGCCCCAGATCCTTTTTACTGCTACATCTTTTGTGCTAAAGGAGAGAGAAGGAAGAGTCAGCTGTGGAAAGAAGGAATTTCGGGAGAGGAGAGAGCGGCTGGCCGGGCTGCCGGGCGGACGGTGGTGGGGAGGCGGATGCTGGCGGTCAGGAGAGATGCGTACCTAGAGCCAAGAGAGAGGCTGGGACAGCCAGCAAAAGGGAGGGGACAGCGGAGGTGCGGGAGCAGGCTGAGGGCTGTGCCCTGCCCGTCTGCGCTTGCCTCCTGCTGGTTTTAAAGGTGATAGATTCTGGGGACATGATCTCCCTTCTATCCCCTTCTTTTTCCCTTTCTGAAGAGAAGAATCAAGGAGAGGAGGTGGGGAGGGGACGGGGAAAGTGAGATTATAAGATGCTGTTGGGAACTTTGATCCCTTTCATCCCTTTCCCCACGCAGAAATGAAAGAGGCATCCCTCTCCCTCCAAGTGGCAAGCACCCAGCTCTCTGGGAAATTGAGCTGGAGAGTGAGAAGAGGAGGCAGCAGCTGAGCCCAGCGGCAGAATGAGACTGTGAAGCTTGAAGCTGCTGCCCACTTCATACAGGAAGGATGAAGATCCCCAGAGTACTTAGGCTGTTGGTAGAGCTCTCGAGTCTGTTACCATGTCTCAGATGCAGGGAGGTAAGAAAACTAATATTCTTCTATTTGTAAAAAGTCACCTAGATTTTTATATATATATTAATATCCTAATTGTGAGTGGATTGTGTTCTTACTGAATATGTTTTCTGAAGTATCTAGGCAGCTGTGGTCTCTGGGAAGGCTTGGGGGCTTGGGGAGGGATTTATTTCCTTGTGCATATGAAATTCATAAATGGAAACAAAGCAGGATGCACAAGGGCTTGCAGATGCTTTGGCTCAGGTTCCCCACGTTACTCAAGCACTGCGGTGACCCTGGCATGAGAGATTCTTTGTTTCTTTTCTTCACCAATGGACTGGTGATCCCTATTGCTGTTGTGGGCAGATACCATTTATAGCCATAGAGCTGGGGCAGCGACTGCAGCATGGGCAGTTGCACTAAAATTTTGTGGTGTTGATGGTGGCTGCTGGGGGGTTTTGGAAACTGCTACAGGAACTGGCAGCAACTAGCTTTTCGTTAGAAGGGAAGCATATTACTTGGACTGGAGTTCTGTCATTTATGCTGAGTCTCCAGGAAGAGTATGCTCAGTGTCTCATATGGCCAGTTATTATAGCAACCCATCCCTCTTTCTCATGTTAGCTCACAAGTGTGTATAAGTGCACACTGGAATGCAGAAGTTAGGGGATTTGGGTTGTGACTCACCTGTCCTGTGTATTATCTTGGGCAGTCACAAAAGTGTCACTAAGCTCACTTTCCTCTCTTTGCAAAGTGCTTTGAGATCCTCACGTGCGTCCTTCAGCATTGTTGGTTTACAGAGCAGCTGGATACATGCAGACAGATGGATTTTTGGCTGAAGAGGATTTGTCTGTTAATTGCTGTTTTATCTATGCTTCCTCTTGTACATTTGCACCTGAGCTCTGACTTGCTCTTTCTGAATTGTGTCAGGAATTCATCTTCAGTATGCAATGTCATGTTCTGACTTCCAGAGGATGATGGTGAAGCTTGGCCATAGCTCTGAACACCTGCTGACCATTATATATAATTTTCATCTGTAAATTAAATCAGCCATGAATAGGTGTCGTTCTTGTCTGGTATCGATGGGGACTATCCCTGCTTATTCCAGAAGTGGGTTCAGTTTAATTCTGAAAGTCTTTCAGGGAGAGCTGAGGCTGAGAGAAGCAAAATTTAGTGCATTTTGAAGAAAAACAGAACCATTTCTGTAGCTAATTCTCTTCATTTGCGCACCTCTGCTCTGTGAATTAAAACTCTTTGTTCATATATATCTGGCTGTATTTAGAAATGAAACAAACTACGTGAAGCTAGCAAAAGCATGTAGTTTCTTCTTTCTACTCTGGATCTGTGAAGGTCTTGCACCTGCCTGCGTACCATGCAGTGTGTTGAAGTGGAGATCCCTATCTCTCAACCAGCAGTCAAGTTATAACCACCAAAAACACTGCCTACAAGAGGAAATGTAATTTTGGGGATGGACAAGGTGCTAGAATGAGGGCTTTATTTCATATTCTTTGTTCTTAGCTACTTAATATGATTTGGATAATAGTCTCTTATGAAATCTTGTACTGTCATACACTTAAAAACAAAATTCTCAAAAAGCCATGCTAGATTTTCTTCTTCAGTTGTTTTCCACTTGGTACATGGATGTTTAATACTATCTTCACACGGAACACTAGGGGCATCATCCCATCAGATAGCTGTGTTTGCTCCTGTGGTCATGGATTGCTTATTCTTTGCATGGAGGGGGAGTGAATAGTTATTCATTACGTTTCCTTACTAATAACAGTGATTTTTTTTTCCGACTTTTCTTTCCATAGAGATCTCACTCTGGAGTCAGATTTTATTCGCTGAGAGCATTGGGGCTGAAACCTTGAAAAGAACAAGCAGAGCCCTGTTATGTGCTTAGATCAAGGGTAAATTTCTGCAGGCCAGCAATTATACATTTTATTGTCAGTGGGCAGAGCTGTGATTGGGTTTGAAGAAGAGCAATGGAGAGAGCAGGGAAGAGGCTGTTTACCAGGGTGTGTTAGCCTAAAGCAGCAAAAGGCCGAGCTGCTTTCAGGACATGCCCGTGTTTATTTCATTGGATAATATCTCTGCTTTTGCTCTGTTTCTTTTCCCAGGCTCTCCTGGGATCCCAGCCCAGCCAAAACCATTTGCAGAGTGCAGGTAAGAACAAGAAGTTATTAATTCAGTCATCAGGCAGATTCTTTCCTGCAGTGGTGATCCGAGACCACAGGTACGATGAACCACTGCTCTCTGGCTTTCTTCCCTTCTTTCCATCATTTCTTTTATCCTGTATGCCTCAATGTTTATCTCCTTTAGCAACATGGCCAAACTGCTTTCTCTTCATCATGTCTAATACTCTTGCACTTCTCTGTTCCTCCCCCATTCTTTTTCTTTCATCTCTATTTCTGCCCTAGTCTTCTTTTGCATGCTCATTCCACTTGGTAAGTTCTGAATTCTTGTGTTCTCCCCTCTTAAGCTCGCAGGTAATCCAAAGAGCACAGTGTGTTTTCCAGGCATCTAACTGAGCTAACTGTAATTGCTTATCACTTTTGTACCTTGTAGCTAATATTCAGCTGTCATTTGTCTCTGCTGTTTATCATACGTGCCTTTATAGCAGAAGAATTTTTCTGATTTTTTTTGTGAATGGAGCTATAACTGTTATCCATTTTTTTTAGTTTATCCATTTTATACATTCTTAAAAAACACACCCTCACACAGAATCTTGTTCTAGCTTCCCTATTTCTTATTTCAGGGTCATGACTGGAGAAGTTGTTGTTTTGTTTTTTTTTTCTCTATTAAGACAATATTGAATTAAATGTTGGGATTTCTTTACATGAGATTTTTGTATAGACACTGGCCTGGAAAACTGGCATCTGTGCTCTACCTTGAAACCAGTTGCCTTTCCTTTCCTAAGGAAAGAAAAGTTCAGACAGGTGAGGTGATACACTAATGTGTATAAAGGCATACATACAGTGAATGACAATGCCGTTTTCCATTTTTCTGATTTACAGAATTAAATTACACCCAATTTTCCACTCTTCTCTGTCTCAATCAATTAAGACAAGGAATTAATCTTTTGAAGATTTTAGAATCAAATTTAAGAGCATCATATTCAGGTACCAAAGGAGGTACAAAAGGGGAAAAGTCTGTGCCAGGCTCAAAAGCAAGCCAGAATAAGGGCATATGTCTATTGAAATTACTGGCAATGAGAACCAGTTCAAACTGTTTGTGTTTGAGTCCAATTAACACATTTTAAAGATCCAAGCAATTCATTATCTTCAGAACATTTTTTTTTTCCTGAGTTGCTCTGAAAATAATCATAGAATCATAGAATGGTTTGGGTTGAAAGGACTTTCAAGACCGTCGAGTTCCAACCCCCCTGCCATAGGCAGGGACATCTCCTTCTAGACAAAGTTGCTCAAAGCCCCATCCAGCCTGGCCTTGAGTACCTCCAAAGAGGGGCATCTACAACTTCTCTGGGCAACCTGTTCCAGGATCTCACACCATCACAGTGAAGAATTTCTTCCCGATATCTAGTCTAAATCTACCCTCTTCCAGCTTAAAGCTATTTCCCCTTGTCCTATCACTACACGCCCTTATGAAAAGTCCCTCCCCAGATTTCCTGTAGGCCTCCTTCATGTAGTGGAAGGCTGCTATAAGGTCCCCCAGTGCCTTCTCTTCTCCAGGCTGAAGAGCCCCAGTTCTCTCAGCCTGTCCCTGCAGGGGAAGTGCTCCAGCCTACTGATCATCTTTGTGGCCTTCCTCTGGACCCGCTCATTGTCCTTCTTGTGTTGGGGGTCCCAGAACTGGATGCAGTATTCCAGGTGGGGTCTCAAGAAGAGCTTCAAGACTGTAGATATAAAAGGTGGTTCAGGAGATGGGCTCATACGTCTGGTGTTGTCTGATCCTCCATGTGTGATGCCTTAAGTATAGCTAACAGCTTTCTTTCTGTGTCCAGCGTCCAGTGGGTGTGGCATCGGACCTCTTGGGTACTACAATGGCTCGTTGGCTGTCACTGAGGCTGGGGCAGAGTGCCTGAACTGGGCAGAGTTCCCTGATTATGTCCAGCAGTACCCAGACCGTGGCTTGGGGAACCACAACCACTGCAGAAACCCAGATGGGGGAACTACACCCTGGTGCTTCTTCCGACTCGCATCAGGGGCCATCAGCTGGGCTAACTGTGACTGTAACCAAGGTAAGACTGTTTCCTATCTGCCAGAGCCTGGGCTACTCTGTCTTAAGGGGTTAAGGCCAGAAATGATGCTGCACAGACCAGTAAGTAGCAGTTAGGATAACCTGTGAAAGAAGAACAGTGCAGTAAGTGTCCCAGTTTGTCTAAAGAATTAGGACTAAAAGCTAGCCTGTTTGGGGATAAAACATCTGTATGTACTAGGGAGTGGATTTAAGCTGCTATAGCCATGTCTTTTATAGACACTTTTATTCTCGTACATGGAGAATTCTTTTTTTTTTTTTTTTTTGTTAACTTAGGTAATTTTGAAAGCAGTTTAAGTTATGTGGAAAACAACCCACTCCAACTCCTTAAGTCTTCATATCAGAACTCTGCTCATGTAATTGTAGCAGCTCAAATACAGAAAAATCTTCTGTGATTAGATTTGTAAATCTTCTGTTGCAAAGTGGGTCCTAAGCTTCCTTTAGAATTCCTTGCAGTGCCAAAACAATGTCTGCTGCTTATTTTGAGGCATGCAAGGAAGCTCTCAGTGCACTGATTTGTGCACTGTTTGTCCTCATCTGTCAACTTTAACTGCGTTTTGCAGAATGGATAATAAATGAGACAACAAATATCTTCCTTCAACAGTGTAAGTATTATTCAAAGTACTTCAAAGTTCAAAGTTAGCTTCATTAAAGTGAAGGCTACAACAAGCATGGGTGTGCTGCGTGCCTACCACACCCTTACACTACTTCATGCAAGTCAGTGAAAGCACCATGAAACAGGATGTGAGGAATTGGGTCCAATTCAGCTCAGCTACACTCAGAAATCCAAGACTTGCTCATCTGAAATGACTTTTTTTCCTTTTCCTTTTCCTTTTCTTTTTCTTTTTCTTTTTCTTTTTCTTTTTCTTTTTCTTTTTCTTTTTCTTTTTCTTTTTCTTTTTCTTTTTCTTTTTCTTTTTCTTTTTCTTTTTCTTTTTCTTTTTCTTTTTCTTTTTCTTTTTCTTTTTCTTTTTCTTTTTCTTTTTCTTTTTCTTTTTCTTTTTCTTTTTCTTTGCCTGGAAGGTGCTGTGCGGTTGGCTGAAGATAGCAGTGTGGAGCTGTACTTTGGTGGACTCTGGGGTACCATCTGTGCTGACCTCTGGACTGACTGGGATGCCAGTGTTGTCTGCAGGCAGCTAGGTCTCAGGTGAGAACCTCAGTGTGGCTTGAAGTGTTATGTGTTCATAGGTTCTTTGAGAGAACAGCCTCATTAATTACTGTCCTTCTGGAGTAATATGTAGGCTGTAGGAGAGGAGTTTGTCCTGTAGGCTGACTTCCCACTTGCTAGGGTCCTTCGCACCTGTGTTCTTTCCATGGCTATGCCTAACCCCAGTCAGCATTTGCAGAAACGGTAGTTTGTAAATCTGGATGTTCAATGCTGTGCTGAGTGATTCAATTTTTAATATTATCGTTTTAGTATTACTGTACTGATCTTTTAGAAAATGTTGCAACTGTGAACCCTCTTTGGGAATCTCTTATTTGGCCTTTAGTCTTCCAAAGAAAAAGAGATTAGGTCCACAGAGAAGGAAGAATTTGATTCAGATATTTAGATATGCTGACCATGTTACAATCTGTTGAAGGGTTTGTTTATCACTCTCCAATGAGGGTACCATTTCTGACCAGATCAACTCTGCTGCAAGGAAGATAGCATGTATTACATGGTGGGATAGTACTACGTGCTTGCTTGCTTAGACTGGAAATGGCTATCCCTTTAAGCTCTCACAATTAATTGGGCTCACAAGACATGAAATGCCACAATTGGGCTGGAAAGCAAGTGTGAGTTAAGCAGTACAACAGTTTCATCATTCTGTTGCATTCTCCACACCAGTGAGATTGGCACAGCTGGGAAGAAGAATCGTCCTGGACTGTGGCCTATTCCCCTGCACCTGCAGTCAGCAAACTGCCATGGGGATGAGAAAACCCTCTTGCAGTGTGGCTATCAGGAAGCTGTGTCAGGAACTTGTAACCAGGGAAGCGCCATGGTAACATGTGTCCCTCCAGAAGGTAAATCTCCAAAGGGAGGTTCACTCCCTTTTTACTTGTGCCTAGTTTGCTTGGAATCTAGTGTTGCTGATAAGATATTAAATCTGAGATCATGATGCTGTGGAGAGTAAATCATTGGAACGTATTCTTTTTTCACCTGCTGTGATGGTGACTACTTTCCTTCCAGTGGAAAATAATTTTTTTTTTCCCAATCCCAAGTACTCAGCGTGCTTCCAAAATCACTGAAAGATGCTGTTGCTTATGACCACATCCCTTTTCATTCAAAACAGGTTTTTGTTTACAGGCAGCAAAGTCCTGGTCATTGTAGCAGCCAGTTAAAGAGCCATCCCTGGACTAGTGGCACCTCCTGCTGTGGCTTGCAGTCGTTGATGTTTCTAGAGAGTTTGGAGGGGAGGAAATGGTAGAATGGAACAAGAGAAGTGGCTCTGGCTGGTGAATAGCTCTATGTCTTTAACTGCTAGATGTGCTTTGTCTCTATCTTGTTCTGTTTTATTCTTTTTTCCTTTTTTGAAACACAGGTGTAGGTGCTCCATTGCGTTTAGTTGGGGGAAAGGAGAGCTTTGAAGGACGGGTGGAGGTATACCATGATGGCAAGTGGGGTACCATCTGTGATGACCAATGGGATGACCGTGATGCTGAAGTAGTTTGTAGGCAGCTGGGACTCAGGTACTTTCCGTACTGTTCACATGAAGTAGTAATAGAAGTAGTCTGAATAAAGAATGTGAGAGCATCTGTCTTCACCATATAGCACCATTCCTTTCTATGGAAGGGTAAGAAAATCTTGGGGAAGATAATTCCAGACTTAACATCTTGTCATGGGATTTTGTACTTAATTAGGTCAGTCAATTTTATGGGTTTATGCTGTGTAAAAAAGAGTTGGTTTAATCCTATCCAACGTTTGTTTGTGTTTATCCCTGTTCATTACTTTTACATGCTTGTATAATGCATGTATTTGTGGCTGCAGTGCTAACTTGCAGTGACTTCCACAGGTGAATTGCAGCCATTTATTTGTTTAAATTTAAACACCTTCAGTTTCACTGATTGTCTTTATCCTCTTCACTGAGGAGGAAAGCAAGAGAGCACCTCATTCTCTGTGCTATCTGACACTTAATGCAAGGATCTATTGTACACTAAATAACTCTGCATAATTGCTCAAAATAGCTGAGTTAGGCTTGAGATCCTTCCTACTTTGGGAGTTTTGCCTTTCACTGAGATTGAGACATCATTGTCCTCAAATCATATTACAGAACTTTCCAGTGAGATATATTGGTTATTTGACAACACCACTGTGTAAGAAATACAGATAAGCTATGGAAGGATTAGTGTAGGAGAGACTCTGGGAAACACAGAATCCAAGAGCACCAGACTGTGACCTTCCTTACTGAATTTTCATGCATCTCTTGCAGTGGGAACCCAAAAGCCTTGTCGTGGGCTCACTATGGTCAGGGATCTGGCCCCATCCTGCTAGATGAAGTGGAGTGCTCAGGCAATGAACTCTCACTCGACCAATGCAAGAAGAGTGACTGGGGACAACAAAACTGTGACCATATTGAAGATGCTGGCGTCTCCTGTGACCCTTTCACAGGTACATACTTACAGTTCTGTGCCAGTCAGATGCAGCCTTGCTCCTGTATTATGTAAGTGGAAATGAATCAGAGCCAGACAAGGTGGAAATGCTGAGGTATGGAAAGACTGAGGTATGTTCGTTTTTTTAGTATCCTTAGGTAACTGTCTTTGGTTTCTTCCTGTCATGGGCTGTAGAGAGTCTTCAGCAGTGGGGCTTAGGCTGTTTATTCTCTCCCTTTCTGAGTGCTGATCTTTCCTTCTCCTACCCCTTGCAGAGGGCACTGTAAGGCTGACTGGTGGTCGCAGCCCCAGCGAAGGCAGGGTAGAAGTTTATTACAATGGAGACTGGGGCACAGTATGTGATGATGGCTGGACAGATCTCAGTGCCCAGGTGGTCTGCAGGCAGCTGGGCTTCAGGTAGGACTGAGAGCATTTGTAGTATCTGTACTTCCTAATGTCAAGGTTTAGATTCTATGTCCCTTTACTGGTATGGGCTGGACGTTACTTCCTTCAGTACTTCCTTCAGTATTTTGTCATTACCATTATGCAGTTTCATTAAGGAAAGAATAATAGGTGTCCACATCCTTTCCCAGGAAAAAATTAATACATGTATCTGTCTTAATTATTTCTTGCTTTGACCTGTTTTGAAAGTAGATAACAGGCTTAGTACTGTCTTAATGAATCCCCCACCAAAGTTTGAATTTCTTCTTATTATTTCTTAAATTTTGAGATGTATCAGCTCAGCACTACCACCCTGTCTGCTCTGTCAGCTAAGCTTTATCACCTGCTAAACAGTATCAGCTGTCTGCACTGCTGCTAACCTATATCACCTGCTTTGGTACTTGAAGGAAGACCATTAGAACAAGAAAGAGTAGTGGTAGGGATTTCTTAATGGTCTCTATGAAAGCTGAAGCTGGTGAGGTGTGCCAGCTGATTGGCTGCTGCCCAATGTATCACTGAATAGCTGAGTAGAGAGACCACCAGTGCCACAGCAGATGTCTCCAGGTGAGTTTTCCTTTTGTTTTGAGTTTGGGACCCTCTGTGGGATTAGTGAGTTACAATGACTTTGATGTTAACATTCTCTTTCTTCCCTCTAGTGGGCCTGCTACCCTGGCCTCTGAAGCAGACTATGCTGCTGGCCAAGGCTTTATCTTGCTGGATGATGTGGCTTGTGTGGGCACGGAGCTCTCCCTCCTGGACTGTCCCCATAGCAACTGGGGGCAGCACGACTGCTCACACGCTGAGGACGTGGGAGTCCACTGTTCCCCTGAGAGCAACACAGTCACTGGCAGCCTCGGTAACTTAACTTGTGCCTTGCTCTGGACAGAGGGAAAACATCACTTTCTGGTCTGATACTTTGGAAACTTTGGCAGATGTGGGATCTTTCCCTCTGCTGCCTCAATTAGAACTGGTTTTTGAAAAGGATTCATAGGAATAAGCCCTGGCTGTTCTGGGGCAGAGCCATGGAACTGTGGTTCTTCAAGATGTACAGCCAGACCTGCAGAGAGATGGAGATTGAAGAGAACGATTTTGATGGTCTCTTTGTTTATATGAGGCCTGTTACTGTTTTCTCTACTGCACGAAACTTTCCAATTTGTCATCTTTTTTTTTTCTTTTTTTTTAATTCAAATATACACCATCCAATTTTTTTTGTTGTTTTTCCTGGATGTAGAGCACTTTTCTTGCCTAGAATAATGTAATAGTTTTTATAATTGAATGGATTTATTTCCAAGGCATGTTTAAGCTTGTCCGTTCTTGGCTCAGCAGCTAATAACTTTCTTTCTGCTCTTGTTCTCCTCTTTACTTAGCTTTCAGAAATACGATCTAATGATTTCCAGTGTGTATTTAATAAATTAATATGCACCAATTTTGCAAGGAAATGAAATGAGGGACACAGCGGTCAAATAGATCACCACTCTTCTCCTTCTCACCTCCTCCTCATCTCCTCAGTTTTTCCTATAAAAACTAAGTTCTGGGCACCTCATGCTCTTTGGTATTTTTGCTTGCAGCGACCCCTGTGTTTTTTCTTTCACAGGACCTCCTGTGCGGCTGGTGGATGGAGAAAGCACCAAGGAGGGACGGGTTGAAGTATTCCTGAATGGGCAGTGGGGCAGCATCTGTGATGATGGCTGGACAGACAGAGATGCTACAGTAGTTTGCAGGCAACTGGGCTTCAGGTAAGATAACTGGTACATGCATCTTACAAATACAAATTGCTCTCAGGAGGAATCTTCTTTCTGAACCTGTTTCTGGGAGATTCATTTCCCTTGAAATTTCTCTTTAAAACATGCTGTGCATCAGTTTCACCTGCCTCTTGCTTAATGCACATTAGCCATTCTCTCTCTCATTGCAGTGGTGCAGCAAAAGCCAGGGCAATGGCTTATTTTGGTGAAGGCCAAGGGCCCATCCATCTGGACAGTATAGAATGTAGAGGCACAGAGCACGCTCTGGGGCAATGTGTCAGACCTGACTCTGGGATTCACAGTTGCTGGCACAGTGAAGATGCTGGTGTGATTTGTGACTATGTGGAAGAGAAGGTCCAGGATATCAGGAGAACAGGTGATGTGCCCTTTCTTCTACACAGAAATCTGGGGCTCAAGGTTTAGGATTTCTGCATGCTTTTTCACTGTAGTTTTTATCTTTTTCGGTTGAAACTTTAACTACAAAATAAGCATGTTCTCTCTTGCAGCTCCTGGTTACTCTTCCTTTGTTTTCACTGTCTCTTCTAGTCTAGGCTAGTCAGAGGAGCTCTAACCACGTCAGGTCTTTGAGCCTGCAGAACTTCCCTTGAGTCATATCATTATACTCTTCCTTAGAGCAGTAACTATAAGCAAACTTTGGGCTTTGGAGCACTGAGGAAAGCTGTAGAGCCAATTCTTGCCATAGGACTACAGATTCTGGAGGTAAGCTCCTCCACTAAAACTGTGGAAACCATTGGGAACAAATCTTATATAAATTCCTTTGCACAACACAATGCAGTCAACTACAGGAGGATTAATGCCTTCAGGGGACAGGAGGGATATCTTGGCTCTGTGACAGCAGTTGTTGATACTTAAGCTGAAGGTATCTATCCAACTGTGCTAACTTTACTGTGCAGGTCCAGAGTCCAGTGTGTGTGGCATGCGCCTACTTCATCGTCGCAAGAAAAGGATCATAGGTGGAAACAAGTCTCTCAGGTAATTGCTGAGAACAGGTTCCAGCTTTCCTAACTTCATTTGAACCAATGGTCTATCTAGGGAAGAATGCTTGTCAGCTGAGCTCAGATAGGGCAGAGTGAACGGGAAAAGCAACAACTCCCGTGTATGTGATGCTTACTGTTCTTCTGTTTCTTCTTCAGAGGTGGTTGGCCATGGCAGGCCTCACTACGGTTGAAGGGTTTCCAGAGAGATACCCGTCTGCTCTGTGGGGCAACACTGATCAGCAGTTGCTGGGTAGTGACTGCAGCCCACTGCTTCAAAAGGTGTGTTTGTAAATGGGAGCTCTACGGGATTCTCAAAGACAAAGAAGATAACCTCAAATGAGGTTGTTCTCCCAACCTAATGGAAACACATGAACAAAGTTTCTAAACCAAGGCCTTCAGGTTATGATGTGTGTGATTTTGGAGAACTTATGGGGATGACTCAATTTAGGCTTACGTTATCCCTCACTGCTTATACCTGCCCTCTTAACTTTGAAGTTTTACACCTTAAAGGGAACCATCATTTTGCAATTAATCATAGAATCATCTCCCAGTACTTTAAGGAAATGTGAAAAGAGAAAGCCATGAGCCTGTTACTGTTACTGGGTTACTGTTGTAACCCTTTCTATAGAAAGAAGTATTGTGCGTGGTAAATAGTGACTGTAACAGCTGGCATTATCACATCTGTGGGAAGAGATCCCACAGTCCTGTAGCTGGCACTTCTTTATAAGTGTGTGGGTTGAGTCTCAAAGCAGTTGAGACTTGCATGAGTCTAATTCTCTGTTAGTAGAAATATCAAGGTATTGCATGTCTTTTTCTCTAGGTTTGGTGTTGATGTGCGACGCTACCTGCTGCGGGTGGGTGACTACCACACAGCTGTGAAGGATGAGTTTGAGAGAGAGCTGCCTGTGGAGCGGATCGTCCTCCACAGGAACTACTGGGCTGGCAGCAACGATAACGACATTGCCCTGGTCCGAATGCGAGGCAGAGAGGGGCATTGTCTCTCCTTCAACAGCCACGTTCTGCCTATCTGCCTTCCTGATAAGAAAGAGAAGTCTGACATAAACAGGCAAGCCTGCATCATCTCTGGTTGGGGAGACACAGGTAAGTGACAAAGCTCTTAGGAGCAAGATAGGGAAGGGGAGAATCTGGACCGAGGAATCTATATGCACAATTATTTTACATCTGTTCAATTCAAGGCCATGTTTTTAATGCTCCCATTATTTCTGCCAAGTGCATGGTGTCAAGGAACAGGAAATAAAGCAATTTTTGTGCCACTGTTTTCTTCTGATGTTGAGGTTGTCTCGAAGCCTGTCCATGATGGAAGTTTTGGTTGCCATAGCAATCTTCTGAAGCTGTGAGGGAGAGGAAAGCTGCCAGCTCATCACAGTTCTCTCCTTCTCTCCCCTTTCTACATGCATGTTTGCCCACAACAGAGCCATTGCACATGCAGACCTGGTGCACAAAATCTGTATACTGTTCAGGAAGGTCCCCATGTTTCCATGGTCTCCTGCCTTCTTTATAGATCACAGTAGTAAAGTGAGGGCTTTGCAGTGGAAGGAGTGTTCCTCATAAATCTTGCTTGTAAAGAGCATGTGCCTAGGTAGTGAGCTGAGACAAAGTGCTCTTTCTGTACAGTAGGTGACCTTTCTTGGAAGTCCAGCCACTGTGATGAATCTCCCTGGATATTGTTCCAGGGACAGCTGGGCTCTGACATTGGTTTCTGCACAAGCTTTGAGAACCTGCCGTACATGCCGTTTTACACAACATTACTCTGAAACTTCTAGGTTAAAGAGAGGAGAGAATATTCTAGAAAGTATTAATGACTAAATTGTTAACACTGTCAAGGCAATGTTTTAAAATGTTGGGCTTGGTGGAGTTCTGACATGGATGCATTAGTCTGGGGACAGCTTTGAACTCTAAGTAAGACGTTGTGACCAGTTGTGCAGTCCTTTCCCACTTGGGGTTCGTAGATGCAAAGCAGGGCTTAAGGAAAGGAGGCCTTTCTGGGCTGCTGTGACTGGAGAAAATCCATATGTTCAGAAAGACTTGCTGCCAAAACACAAATAGCCCCAGGAGTTTTCTGTTGTTTTTGGACTTAGCCATCCTTTCCAGCTGTTTCTCTAGCTGTTACTCAAGTGTTTGATTGAAAATACAGATTTGCCTTTGAAGTCAGTTATACCAGGTGCACATGTCACTTTGGGGTGTCTGCAGAGGATCAAGGAGTAATTTAGTCATGTAATTCCTTTAAGTTATACTGGTACTTAACAGCTAGAATCTCTCCCACACACCAAACCCATCTTTCTCAATGAGTTAACAACCTTGTGAACTTACTGTAAGTCCATAAATTACTTTAAATCTTGAGCGCCAGAAGTTTGCACTCTAAGAAACGAGCCTTAAATTCTGATCAAGTCTATGGTAACCAAAATTTGAGCAAATAGAAATAAGTCTGGCCAAAGATGAGGTAAGCTCCCTTTGAATAATATTTGGATGCTTCTGAAACGCGTTCCAAAACTTCTCTGAGGATTGAGAATTTCACAAATGTTACTTCCTTTATTCCTTTGTGAAAACACTGTCATTTTAGAGAGAAAGAAATGAAGGCTCAAAGAGGTGAAATAAGCTGAACAAAGTTCAAGTTATTCGTTGGCAGAACCAGGAGTAAGACTCATCCTTTGATCTATCCCCTTTCTCCAACCTCTTCCCTGCTTCTTTGATGTTACAGCTCTTTTTTGTGGTCTGGTTTTGCAGTTCTCTGAAGTTCTGGTCGTTCAGAGATGCTGAGTTTGGCCTAATTCTGTGCCACAATCTTGATGTGAAATGTACAGAGAATGCAGAGAACTGTTGCTCTAGGCTGCTGCTGTTGTCTGTATGTGAATTGGTTTAGCTGGTCTGTTCTGTTCCAGGGAAATCTTATTCAAGAACACTACTGCAGGGGGTGGTGCCTCTTCTGCCACGGGAAGACTGTGAGGTCCGTTATGGGCAGAAGTTCACGAACCGCATGATTTGCGCTGGGAACCTCTCTGAAGATAAACGAGTGGACAGCTGCCAGGGTGACAGCGGAGGGCCACTCATGTGCCAGAAGTCAAATGGACGCTGGATCATTTTGGGAATCACTTCCTGGGGTTACGGGTGTGGTCGGAAGGATTCCCCTGGTGTGTACACAAAGGTCAGCAGATACGTACCCTGGATCAAGAAAGTGACCAAGCTAAAATGAAAATGTCTGAGCCCCAGGAACTTCAACTTGTCCTTCTCCCTGCAGCAGCTGAAAGCTGTGGCTTCTGGCCTGGGAATGGTGGAAATGTATGTTTTTCTTTTGGACACTGGGAAAGTAATTTAACATAGAACTGGGAGAAAAACAGCTATGGTTGATTCTTTGGTCTCACTTTAGTTCTTAATCTCTGAGCAGACAAAGCAAGTGCACACTGGTAGGACAAATTAGCCTGTGTTGCTCTGACAACAAGTTTGAGTCCTGTAATGCAATCAATGCTTATTTCTTTGGCCCCAACACACGGAAATGGTAGAAATGAAGATATGCCTGTCTCTGTAAATCTGTTCACCAGTTTTTGTATGTTCACACACTTGAAAATCACTGCAAAGACAGGTGAGATGCTTGTAAGCTGCTGCAAGCTCTGGCATACTTTTTCATAACATGTCTCTCTTCCATTCCAGAAATGAGAAGATTTGACCTGAGCTGAGGAGCAGGCTAACAATTGGCCTTTTTTTTCCCCTGATATGTCTCTAGGGGGAACCTTTTCTCTTCTGAATATTAGATTCTAAAAATGTCTGTCCCTGCAAAGAGGTGCTTGTCCTTCCAGCTGTAATCCTTGTGCCACACATTTCTGGTCAGATGCTACGGCTTTATTGCTGCTTTCTCAAAATTGTGGTTCTTTTGTGGTTTGTTTTTTGTTTCTCCATAAAGCAGCGTCTCCTGGAATCAATTGTTTGTGTGAGAGTAAATCTTTGTTTTTAAGAGACAATAGCTTTCTTGCTCTCATGATTACTGTGAATGACTTAAAAATGTGACTTCAGTGTGACTGGAATAGACACCATTACTTTTCTTTAAATCCAAATATAGTGTTAAGTGTTCAGGTGTTGATTCATAGTTTAACAGCACTGCAGGGACTTTATCTTGATATTTTATTCATCATTATTATTAACTGCCCTTTGTGATCTTAGCCTTTAGTATCTCTGTGTTCATAGTCCTCCTGTGAAGCATGGAAATACTCTGGAGTGTAGACATCAAACAAACACTAGAGTGAGTAGTTCTCTTGAGGTGCAAGGCAGTTTCCTGCATTCCTGGAGTATATGCAGCCTTTGTACAACAGTTTCTCTCTTCTTTTTATGTTTCTCTTTTCATTCATCTCAGTGGAATTGGGTTGGCTTGACTTAAGGGTCTGCAAGCAGTGCCATCAAGCTACTACTGTTTTAGGGTCAGACCTTCTCAACCTGGACAGAAATAATACTGAGAGAATACAAGTGTCATTGAACACTTCAGTTTCTTCCTTCTCTCATTCAAACAAATGGACTTAATTTCCTCCTCTGAGGCCTTAATTACTTTCTAGGTTAATTGATTATTTTTGAGTAGGGAGAAAAATACAAAAGCAGAAGAGCTAAGTGTGTTAACAGTTGTGCAGCTCACAGTGGTGTGTTCTGTATACGTGTAGCCAAGCCAGAGAGAGGACAGGTCTGTTCATGAGCAGCCTTGGTGCACAACCAATGATCCAAACATGGAGTAATAATACAGTCTGAGACATGTGGAACTTTTGCCAAATGTGCATGTTTTGGATTCACTCAGTCACACACAAGCCTGCTGACTGCAAGGTCTGTACTCAAGACACTGAGCTGTTTGGTACCTGGGAATTATCAAGGCAAGAATGGAAGACAGCACAACCTGTGGATTAGCTATGTCATATGACAGGACAAGTAGTGATAGTGTATTAGAAATTGCCTTGAGTTAAACAAGCAGTGACTGCCAGAAGTTTTAATTTCTCTTCTACAAAGCAGCTTAATTTAAAAGTGTTGACCTGCATAGGTGCCTGATTTTTGCTAAACTGAACAGTTAATTTACCTTCTCCAGTGATTACTGTACAGTTGGCTTACAAGTGCTTTAATGGACTTTGAAAATCGTACGTGGAAACTTTATTTTTAAAAAAGAATTAAAGGAACTTTGAAACATGCAATGTTAGAACATCTGCAAATTGCCCTTTGAGACAGACCTGATCTGTTAGTGCCCCTTCTTGAGGGCTGAATGTGCTTGTGTTGATGACTCTATTTGAAGAGTTAGGCTTGGTCCTTGCAGTGCTGTGCTTGGCTCTGTGCTGCCTATGCTGTCCATGACTGCTGGCGGAGAGTCCCTAAGGCACAAGCTGCAGGCTAGACTGCTGGTTTTCTCTTAGGAGTTAAAATGAGAGGAGAACCGAGGACAATTATGTTACAGACCTCTCTATTCCAGAGTGGCAGTAACAGTACCTGTTTGGGAAATGGGGAGGGATTTAGTTTTCACTTTCAGCCTCCCCCAAGCCTGAATGCTACATCAGCTCAGACACAGTGCTGTCACGCCTCTAGTTTAACCTGGTTTGAACTTCTAGCTTATACTCATAACCCCAACAGGCTTAGAAATATAGAAAGGATTGAAGGTTTTTTTCCCTAAGCCTACTTAACTTGTTACCATTCAGGAGTTAGAAAAAATGCCTACACAGCGTAAGTGAGACACAGACCTGGCACAGCATTCTGTGATTCCCATGTTCCAATTCAAAATATTTCCCCTTGTATTTTGTCACCATGAAAGCTGTGAGAATCACAGTACTTAACATTCTGTGAGTCCTGAATGAGCTAGGAGGAAGGGAGGAAGTACCTCACCTAGTTTTACACTTACTTGTGCTAAGCAAACCTGCAAACACGCTTGTGAGTTGTCCTAACCTGTTCAGAACATCACTGTTCCTCTTTGTGGCCCAAACCAAACTCACATGCTTTGCCACAGGGGATTACTGGAATTATCTGATCAGAAGACCAGCACTCAGCCACTCCAAAGTTGTATTTTGTACCTAACGTTGGCCAGCAGCAGACATGTCAAAGCACAGTGCGTGTGCATTTGTACTGAACAAGTTTTAACAGCCTTTTTCTTTTTTTCTGGGAAATCTTGTTCTTGGACCATTTATGTTAATTACCTGCATTGCTATCACTGTTCTAATTAAAAGTACTAGTACTTGTCCCTCCAGGTACTGCTCAAACACTACGTGCTATACTTTCATGATTTTTTCTTTTCTGAAGTATCAATGTTTATATCCCAAACTTAAAAAAAAAAAAAAAAAAAAAAAAAGTGTTGTAAACATCCTTCGTCTTTCACATAAATGTTTAATCTCTTATTTAATCCAACTAAGCTCTACAGCCTCAGTATTTTCTGACAATAAGAACCAATATAATTTCATTCTCCACAGTACAATTGTCTTTTTATAGATCCTGAATGCATTGCCTTTTGTTTTTACTGAATCCCATCTATCCTTGTGTTCTCAACTATGAGAGGAAATGAGAGCCCTTGCTTTATACTCTTGTCCATTACGCTACAAACAGTCTTTTGAAAACTGTGACTTCTCTGTCTCTCTTCATTCCAAACTGCCTAGGTACCTGATAACATACGAGCTGTCTCTCCACGCCTTCTCTTTCTGCTGGGTCTTTAAGCTTTGGTAACCAGAAGTGAAAACAGTTTGTGAGGGGAAGATGTGCCATCTGCTGATTACTTTCAGTATTTTCAATAGTAGGCAATGCTGTAAGTGTTCAGTGCTGTGTGTGTATTATGTATGTATGCTAGCTTTGAACTTGCTGGTGTGGTTTTAGTGGCAGCCCACCTACAGCAAGGTAAAAACCAACCACGGTTGATTCACCCAGTGTCTGGCAGCTGCAGCAGCCCCTTCAAGCACAGCCAGCTGCTGTAGGTATATCTGTGGAACAGAACGTGGCTCTGGGCAGGGGATACCTGATGAGTCCTTAGCAGCATTCGTTGTCTGGTTGAGGCTAATGCCCATTCCTCCCTTCCAGGAACTGATAGTTCAGTTACTGGCAGCTGAGGTGCGCTATGGGGATGCTTTGTAAGACAAGTTCCTGCAGTAGTGTGGTGCATGTTGGTTGAATAAAAAACAGTGCCTCTGTGACTGGGGAGCATTTGTTAGATAGAGTGTCTAAGGAGCACCTAACATGGCTCCTGTTAGCCCTCTTCCTACAAGAATACCCCGGTGCTCTACAAAGGCGGACCCAGTGCTAGTGCCTTCCTGCCCTCTAGGGGCTACATGGGTACTCTCATCAGCCCTGTCTTGACACCAGTCCAGGCTTTGGCCAGTTGAAGCTGGATTAAAGATTTATCCATTTCCTGTAGTTGAATGCTTTTCAGATGATTTGTAAGAATTATGTTTCCGTGCTGTAATTAATTGAGCAACTATTTATGAACCTGAACAGGATTTCAATTACTCCTGTAATCCTTGTACCTCTGTAGCAGAGAATAACAAATCAGTTCCTCAAAGGTATTAGTGGAGGGATTGGTTAGGAACTAGGAACATGAGTATTTGCTGTCTCAGGGATAGGAAAACAGGGTTTGCTTTATGTCTGTCTGCCTTATTTTCTGAAGCCAATATCCTGAAGACCTTTCATCCCCGAAGTAACTGTTGTGATCCATCAACCACTTATAGACACGTTTTTATGTATATAAGAGGAAGGTTATTAGTAGCTGAACTGCAGTGCAATACGTAACATCTTCTTGCTTTTCTGGGAGTTCCTTGCAGCTAGAAAATGTGGGCATGGGAATAGAATGGTCACTGATGGTAACCAGCCTGGAACTGCTCCCGGTGGGATGAGGCACTGTGACCTGGAGCAAGGGCTTGGGCTGTGTTTTTACTTATTCAAGAAAATATTTAATTTCCCACGTCAAGAAGGAACATTTGTTCAGCCCACTCAGTCCTATTAAAAACCCTTTCTACTAACAGGGGCCTGAGTAGCTCTGAAATCAGTCTAGTGCCAAAACTGTCATGTCCCCTGGATCAAAACCAATGACTCACAAGATATGCTAATCAATTAATTGTGCTGTGACTGTGTGGGGCTCTGTCTTATTTTAGTATAGGAACCTGTTCCAAGGGCAGGTTTTAGGATTTTTTTTCAGCAATGAATTATGCTAATTAAATTTTTGTATTAATGTTATTTCTAGAGGAGCTTTAATGTGTGAAAGAATGTTACAGAGTCAGTTATCCTATTAGCTACCATTAAAATGCAGCACAACAGCTCTTCAAATGCCACATTTTGTGGCCATTTGGAACGGACAGAGGACACTTACAGATGAACTCATGCTCAAAACAAACAGGATTTGATATATCAGTTTCCTAGTTCATTGTTGTTGTTGATCTTTACACACTACTTTTGAAGGAACTTGTTCAGCATGATTTTGTCTCATTTGATGCTAGGATTCATGTATCACCGAGTGAAGGACCAAAGCCAAATTTTGGATAAGAACCAGGAGGAATGAAACGTAATCTGATTGAGACACTGATGTGAGAACACTGTTTTCTTCCTCCCCTCCAAAGCTGAAACTGTATTACTGTATAAAAGGTCTGTTTAGAAAAGCAACCCACTGACTGCTCCAGTGACTTTCTCAAGTTGTTAGGGTTAGTCTGGGGTTTGATGTGGTGATGGCTGCAGGTACAAAATATTATAGCGTATAATTTCTTGTGCATGCTGTCTCCAGTCTCCTGTTGGGAACTTACGTGCACTTGCTAAAGAGAGCGCAGCTTGTGGTTAACACCTCCCTTGCTTCATGTTTGACTTTGAGGTTTCTACACCTACGTGTTTCTGCTTCTGCTTGTGTGAAGCTGAGAGCTCATGGCTGAGGTTTTGCAAGAGTGTCTGGCGTGCACTTATCAGTGGGCAAAGCTGAGTTAAGGGCGTTTTAGTGGTCTTA